GTGATGCCTCCTCATAACTGAATTTAACACCTCCTGAGCCCTCAGAAGAAAAAAGGATAAAAGCACTTTCTGTGTTGAACAATCCTTAGACATTTATAGAATTATTTTTCCTGTATAATTACAAAACATATCCACTTAAACCACCAGAAGTGGCTTTAACAGGTACCAATGCACACGGAATCATAACTACACTTCTCACTTCGTTTCTTTTGTGAGTTTATGGAAACGCAGGAGGTAAAGAGTATATTTGTGTTTTGCCTGGGTGCTTGAACTATTCCAGCTTACACGTATTTAAGATTCGGAAGAAAGTGATGAAGAAAAAAAAGTTCAGGACAGACGATCAATTCGAGTTTCAAAGGGAATTTTCTTTCATATTTTCTACTGGACTGGGCTTCTGATGACTGTAAACAAAGGATAAAAGTGATTCAAAGAGGAGGAAAAACAAGTTATTCCTCTGTGCCTTGGTAGTACCCACTGATGGAGAAGATACAAAAGGAAAACTGGGTGCCAAGACCTGGATCCAAAGACAAGAACTGATCCCCCCCCTAATCTTTCTCTCGCAGGAGAACTCAGCCAGGGAGACTTTAGGCTGACTGTCTGTCTCCTGATAATCTGCTTCTGAGTCCTGAAATCCAGAAATCCTGGATGTTTGCTGAGTGTATCATTGTGTGAATAAAGCCTGTTTTTCTTAGTTTTACCATGATACATGTGCCTACATGACAAATCACTACCAATCACTCTAATCACTCTGCTTAGAGGTGGCGTTCTTTAAAGGAACGAGGTGTTTTTCTCTTTCCTCTTTGTTGAAGACTGGAATGTAAATGTGATGATTGGAGCTGCAGCAGCCAAATTGGATGGTGGATTGAAAGACACATAATGAAAAAAATGGTAAAGAAACAAGATAGAAGTCATCTGTAGAGTCATTATAGCAAACTGGACTGCCTGCCTAAATTCTGAAAATCTCTACTTCTGGTTCTCAATTACTTACAGCTGAAGCTAATCCTACTCAAGTGAGATACCTTGAGAAGCCAGGCCAGCGGTAAGACAGACACCTCCCTACCTCCCAACTACTTGTTATGTCATTATTTTATCATTGTTATCACTCATCAACACTTATGGGACATTGTGTGAAGGCACCACTGAGTGGTCTGGTTTTAAGTTGGCTTAAGGACAGGGCCAGACTAGGACATCATAAGCCAAGTTCCATTATTACAGAGTTCTTTAGGAAACCTGCCCCAGCACTACCATGTAAATGCAGCTGGATCTGGTCAGAGCCATGGCTGTTACTATTTCTAGGTTTTTCCCTAGGAGCAAAGGTTGTGTTTCCCTAAATCTCTCTTTATAATTTAAAAACATATAGTCATAAACCCTGTTCCTTCATTCAAGCTTGATGTTTGATGCAAAAAGTACAAAGTCTGTGAATAATGGCATTTGTGGCCATGGTACTGTGAGGATGCTTTGCATCCACTCCCTCTGGGTTGCTCTGATTAACGACCATCTCTCTGGTTCTAGGGTTGAGGACAAAGCAGGCCCTTTTCCCCTAGACTCCTACACAGTGGCACAGATTCACAGGGTCAGGATAAGATAGTTTTCAGGGTTCTGTTTGTTCACCTGAGACCCATACGGAAGATTGAGGGGGCATCCAGTGGCCAAAGACTTTCTCACTACTCCAGAAGGCACCCAGGAATGCTATGGGATAGAGGACAGTGTCCTAGAAGACTGAGTCCACAGCTAGCTGGACAGGGAACAAGACTTTCATCAGCAGGCCCCAGCAAGTCTGAAAGCAGCATGGACCAGGGCCTCTAGGCTCTTTCCGGAGACAGCCTCAGGCCCTGTCTTACTGGCTATGGCTCAAATGGAAGGCAGAAGGCTGTGTAAATCAAGGCCAGGCAGTTTAACCCCATCGTGAGTACCTGGGTGGGGCTATACAATGCAGTAACAGGCACTGGCAGCCAGAGATAGGACTTCCTGGGTAAAAATAACCAACCAGTGTCTTTAAAAACATAGCTAAAAGCCAGCTGCCCACTTACTTTTCAAACTTGCCACAGCTCCTGATTGCAGATTATTATTAATGTTGCACAAGCCAGCTTTATATCTGAAGTCTACGTGCTTCTCTTACTTCAGGGAACGCTCTAGTGACCAAGAGGAAAAAAAAAAATCTTCACAAAGTTCCATTTTCTTGGAAGGTTCTAGACCCCACATTATAATTTACAACTATCGTAGAGGGCTAGCTAAAGAAGAGTGGAAACAAATTTGAAGTAAAAGTGCACAACATTCTAGAGCCTCCCTGTTCTCACGTGGGTTTTTTTTTTTTTTGGCTTCACCAAAGCCTGGGTGAATTATTTCTAGCTATTGTCAACATCTGTTTCTAACTCCACACTCACAGCAAGCCTTCAGACCATTATCCCACACCCCAGACAAACTGACATGAAAGAGAGGGTCCACCAGTTGGCACACCTAAGCATTTTGGTACCTAAAGGGCTCATTCCTCATTACATATGAGTGAACTGTCATTTGGGGTTTGTATCAATTTGGTTTATGTGGTCTAGTGCTGGAGAGCCTTCTCAGTTCTTGCATATTGAAACACAAAACCACGAACATAGAGGGATTATCCAGTCTGGAAGCCAACTGGCCTCTATTGGGCATCATTCTCTAGACTCAGTAAAAGTTTTCGCTCACCTACCAACGGTAATGGTTCCTACTAAAGATAAAGCTTACAAGGCTCAGGGCCATGATTACAGTTATGTCTGCTATAGATTAGGGGCAGGGAAGAGGGCAGATAGATGGGTGGGATACGTTCTAAGAAGGGTTTTATCAGTTCTAACAAACACATCCCCCCAAAATATCCATGAAACTGGGATGCATCATAAAATCACTGTGCTACATTATATTTTTCAAAAATAGACATGCTATTTCAAATTCCCCATGCTCTTCTAGAACCCAACCAAGCCAACATCAAGGAATGGAGTTTATTTCCCCTCTTCTTGAACTTTGAGGAAGGAGGATGTGATTGTTTCAACCGACTAAAAGAGCATGGCAAAAGTGATAATAAATGAATTAGGAAGCTAAGCCATGAAAAACAATATAGCTTCTGTGTGGCCTTCTCTTGGGATGCCTCACCCTTGGAATCTATTCACCATCCTCAGTGGCATCCCATGCCACGTGGTGAGGTCCCTGGATCTCAGGCCTGGCTGAGGTCCTAGCTGAAGGCCAACACCAAGGGTAAATCATGTGAGTAAGTGCCATCTTGGAAGCAGATCCTCTAGCCTTCCCTGCTGAGTCCTGCCCAAATCAGAGACGCTCACACAAAGCCAGTGATTGTTATTGTTATAAACCAGAAAGTTCTGCAATCATTTGTTATACAGCAATAGATGACTGAAATAGTCAAGGTCAGCCAGGCAGAAGAAACTATTGTCACTGCCTGCATGTGTACACCCAAACTTGTAGAATAAGTATTAACTGAAAGAAAACCCTGAAGATAACAGTGGAGTACTAGACATGCTGCATCACCAACACTTTTTATGTGCAGACAACAATATTGTAAAGAAAATCATGAATGCTGATGACTGAATTTAAATTGATTTAAAGAAAAAAAAGGGTTTTTTTGTGGTACTGGAATTTGAACTCAGGGCCTCATGTTTGCTAGGCAGGTGCTCTACCACTTGAGCAAAGACCCCAGCCCTAAAAAAAAATTTTTTTAAGTGACTTTGAAAGATTAGACCTACATATGAAGAAATGCAAGCAATAGCATGCTAGATTACTTTTGTACATATTTTCCTTTCTCAGAGTGCACAACAGTGATATAATGATAAAAAGTGGCAACAAAAAGTTTATGTCTAAATATATTTAAAAGAATATTCACGGGCTAGGAGTGTATGTGGCCCAGCAGAATGTGTGTTTAGCATGTGCAAGGTTCTGGGTTCAATTCCTAGTGCTCCCCATTTGTTTTTAATAAATATAAGACAAACAGTAAGTGATAAGAAAGCATTGTGTCACAGTTTCATTGTGGCATTTTTCTTACCCAGTGGTGTAAGATAATTCTACAGTCTACAACACCTTAGAGTTAATGAAATGCATGTATTTATTGTGCTTGACTTAAACATAATTATACTACCAAACACGAGTGTTCTAGGAGAGTTTTGCAAATTTTCCATTTTTTTCTTTGAATATTGGGAATGAAATCAGCAGGAATAGGCTTTTTAAAGTTCAATTTAACTTTTACCTTCATAAGTATGCTCACAGCATTGCTCTGTAAGACATTTGGGGAGCTAAAAGTTAATTTTCTGAACTTTCTAGTCCATTAACCCCTGAAGTGACATGAATTTTATACAGTGCACATCTTAGGAGTGATTCAGGTGGCTATGTCCTCTTCCATGGGGATGGGGAGAGTAGGCTCAATGAAAGTGCTAGAGTTAATACCTAAAGGCTGAGCTAACAGTGTGAGGAACAGCAAAGAGACAAACTGAGCTCGGAGCTACTTATCAAACATTCATAAAGCAAAAAAGAATTGATGGTGTTGACTTTATTACCACTGTTAATACAATCAGTTTCCCAGACTTCAAAAACAGAAGTTTATTTATAAAATATATTTAAAAGGATTGACAAAAAAATAAAGTCTACAAAATCACCATAATCTTCAACACATCATTGTCACTTGCCACAGTCAACAACCAAGTCTCACTAATTCAACTCCTGTATTTTAAATCCTGTATTTAAAAGAGATCTTTGTAAATCTAGTTTTTCATTTTATGAGTTCTACTGCTGAAAATAGTTATGTTTTTCATTCATTCCAGTCTGACAGTGCCACGTTGGTACTTTATAAAAAATTCTGTAGAGAAATTTACTGATACTGAAATCCCTCAAGATGTATTTACAACGGTTAATTCACAGTTTTTCCAAGGCAAACTATTTTAAAAGAAATAAGTGATTCCTATCATAAAACTGTAAACACTAAAATCCAACACAGTGTAAAGCTATAATATGTAACTTTGGAGATGAAGAACAAATTTAAAATATGTTAAAATATCAACAACTATCAACTTTGGTTTTTCAGTTTTAATTTTAATTTTAAAAATTTAATTCAAAGACAATTTTTTTAGACAGCCTCTCAGCATGTTGCCTAGACTGGTCTCAAACTCCTGGGCTCAAGCAATTCTTAGGCTTCAGGCTCCTGAGTAGCTGGAACTACAGGTATATATCACTGCACCGGCTCCTGACTTTGTATTAGAAATGGAAGAGAGGAACAGAACTGGTCCTAGAGACGTGGTGCCCCCAAGCACAGAAGCAGCCGCTGTGCAGCCAGGTCACCGAATTTACCTGAATGTACCAGGGAGAGGCTGGAAGCTGGCGGGGAGGTTGGTGTCTTGGGCCTTCACTCATCAGCCAAATCCAACTGTTCAATGAGGGCTGGAAGACCCTAGAACACCGTTTAAGCTTCATGCGTGTCCCTCCGGAAATTGTCGAGTCCAAACTCTTCACGTCAAATTGACTGGAGTTTTGTAATACTCAGCACTCTCACCATCTGGTCAAATGAACTACAGATGCAGAGCCCTCTTTTGTCTGGACTCCAGTCCAAACTTGAAATGGGCTGGGTCGACAACGTCACATTCTGCAGAAGGCTGACAGAACCCGCGACTCCCATCTCTACTCCCTCAGAATCTTTCTTTGACCGCTGAATAGGGTATTCACTGAAAGCAAGATCGCAGTGGTAAGAGGAGGCAAGCCTCAGCATTTGCGTTATATTTTTATGCATGAACTTCAATGACTCCATTTTTATTTCCAGTTGATTGCTGGAACTAACAGATGCTTAAAGAATCTTTACGATGGTGAGGTGTGTGCAAGTAAAGAGATGGTATTTCAACATCGTCCTTATTCCATAAATAGAGTTACTTTTTTACACTTATGCTAGAATTTAATTTTAAATAAAAAATTTTAATGGTTTTTTCTATTAATCTACAATAACAACACTGCAAAAGACATTAATCTTTTTTATATAATCTCAATACACAAGTATATATATGTATATGTATGTATACTTATACATAAGTATAATCCTAATATAGCCATACCAAAAGTGGGGGGAGAATTCATTGAGCATTGTATTTTTCTTGCCATAAAGGAAAAAATTGCAAATAAAACTGTGCTAGGAAAAATGGGAAATACTTAACAGGTAACAAGGAACAGAAATATGACAATAAAATAATGAGATGCATTTCCAATACTTTTCTTCCTTTCCATAAAAATCAGTCCCCTTCCCACTGGCTTTCTCACTCAGCACAAATATATACACATCTTTTACAAACAAAGCAAAATGAAGTCTTTAACTTTTTCTTTCTTATAACAAATTCAGTGTCTGTCCTACTTTTCTCAGTCTTTCAGATAAGGCTTTTTGTCCCTACTTCATAGAAGGTCCATATTACCACACATGGCCAAGAAACATTTTTTTTTTTTTCAGTTAACTTCTTTTTAAGCATTTGACTCATTTAAATACTGCTTTTACTTGACACGATCTCTGGGCTTTCATGATGTCACTCTGCGTCTTGTCCTCAGCCTACTACTCTTCATCCCCCTTTCAAATCTATCTTCAGTAGATGGTGGCATGCCCAAGAATCTAACAAACACCTCCAGCTAACACTGTCTTCACACTGAGTAAGTCTGGGCTACAAAATGGCCCTATGCCTAACTGCCAAATAACCTGCTCCAATGGGATGTCAAAAAGGATACCTGTGCTAAAAACTCTTCAACATCATCTCTGTTCAGCATTTTCCTGTATCTCTCTTTTAATATGAAAGTTCTAGGTTGACCTAACATTCTTTAATATACTGATTTGGTGTTCTCGATAATCTTTTAATGTAATTCTTTTCTATATTGATCACTGGTCCTCATGGGCAATGGCATGTGTGAGGGCAAAAGCTCTAAGTAACACTCACAGAACCTCATCTAAACACCCTGGGACAGAGGACTAACACCACAGCTCCATCATACAGGTCCAGCATAAGGATTGTTCATGTACCACTTCTATGGGAAGGTGCTACTGGGGAGAGACTTACACCTAAACATCACTGCTTCAGAAAAAGGAAAAAGCAATTCTGAGGACACTTGGTCTTTTTTTTCAGCTGAAAATATAAACTTGTAAACTAGGAAGAGCCAAAGGTTAACAACTTAATAGTACTTGGTATAGGATTTGAAAGGGGGGAGAAAAAACTATCTTTCTCCTGTGGAGATGTGTTCTAGAAAATACAGGGGTGTGCCTCCTCAGAAGGCCAAGTCTGGCAGTTATCAAGTATGACACCACCTTTTCTTTGTAAGCACTAAAATGGACCAAAAGTTCAAGAGGTACAAAGCAAATAACAGAGCAGAGATGGTAGAATAAGCCACAGGGAGAAAACACATTCTCTCTTCCTCTCAGACCCTACATTCATCAGTAGCAGCATCGTTATTACCATTGTTTTGGTAGTGCTGGAGTTTGAACTTAGGGCTTCAGCACTCTACTGCTTGAGTCACTTTCCAGTCTTTTCTGCTCTGGCTATTTTGGAAATAGGGTCTTGCTTTTTCCCTGGGCTGGCCTAGACAGCATTCTTCCTATTTATGCTTCCCTCCATAGCTGGGATGATAGGCATGCACTACCTTGCCCAGCATTTTTCTGTTGAGATGGGGGTCTCACAATTTTTTTTTTTTTTTTTTTGTCTAGGCTGGTCTCGAGCCTTGATGCTCCCAATCTCAGCCTCCCAAGTAGCTAGGTATAGGTGTTAGCTACCAGCATGCCTGGCTACAAATTATTTTAATTAAAAGAAATAAAACATTCAGATTTAAATAAACAGATTAATGCAGACTTTTTCACGTGTCTCTTGACAAAGACTGAAGTTATTTAGTATTTAAATGACAACATAAAGATTTCTTCTAAACCTTCCATATTATCTATTAAAGTTTTAAAAGTATATATGTAAGTATTTCAAATATACACCAAAAAACCCAACATGTTGGGGATCATTCATTCAAAAAAATAAATTCTGAATAACTAGATGAGTTTCTCTAGGAACTCTTGGATAAGTGCTCAATAAATATTTATAATTTAATTGAATTACTATCACGACAGAGTGGCAAATGGAAATCAAGCTAAATATCATTTTACTCAAACAGACTCAATTCTCTTTACTGGTACATTACTTAGCAGCAAAGCTCCAACCAATGTGAAGATTAGACATCTAGTCTGGTAAGGATTTAGGTTCACTTTGAGATAAACTTCAAATTTCTAGTTGCATACAGACCCAACTTTACTGAAATCATTACATCCACTATGGTTAAAAAAAAAAAAAAATCTAGCTGCAAATGTGTCTAGGTGTGGACTACAAAGAAAATTGGTATTGGTTCTTCAAGTAAGCAGCCTGAAGAGTTTGGTCACCAAGTGAAATACGGACAAGCCACTGCAAGGCTTAGCTGCAGGTCTGGCAGAGCCCTCCTGGCTAGGAGAATCAGGGAAGATCAATGGGCAGGCACAAGTGCTAGGAAAGGTGAGATTTCCAAATAATCTGTCGATCTATTGCTCCAGCATTCTCCCAGAGCAGCTAAAACTTCCCAGGCTTGTCACAGAAACCATGTCGATTTTATTTTGTCAGTTAGTCCCTTAAATATTTTAACAAGCAGTTTCCAGTTACAGCCCTGTTTTTTTGAACCCCTTCCAGCTTCTAAAAGGGGTTAATCCAGCTCTAATAAATAGAGAAGGCGTATGTAAATGTGAAAGTCCCAAACATATTGAAGGTGGCATTTTACGTCTTACATTAATAATCAAACTTTAGTTTTGAAATATCCTTCAATTAAGGGCTGTGTGTGTGTTTTTCTGAGTGATGTCAGGAGAAAGAGTTCTTCTCCTTCCAAGTATATGTTACTTAGCTGATAAAGAATTCAGAAATGCCACTGACTCCCAATTCGTATGTGACATTTTAAATGGGCAGCTGACCTGGGATCTACCATCTTAGGCTCCTTGAGATCCACAGAGTATATAGCATGGCGACAGCTCTCACTGTAACTTGGCCAGCCAAGGTATGCAGATGAAATGTCCCCCACAGGGTCATTTGTTAAATACTTGGTCCTTAGCTGGTGACCATATTTTGGAAGGTTCTGGAAACTTTATGAGGTAGAGCCTAGTCAGAGGAAGTAGGTCACTGGAGGTGTGCCTTTGAAGGTTATACCTGTCCCAGGTCCCTTCCCCTCTCTGCTTCCTGTCTGCCATGAGGTGAATACCACTCCTCTGCCACTGCCATGATGTCTGCAAGTATATGGGAAAAGTGACCATGGATTGAGTCATCTGAAACTGGGAGTCAAAATAATTCCTCCCTTAAACTGTTCTGCCAGGTGTTTGGTCACAGTTATGCAAAAATAGCCAGCACAGAAACCAATCACAGTTTTGGGCTCTGTTTTTGGTCATCTGAATTTAGGCAATGTAATTATTAGAGTCTAAATCTTAGAATTCCAATCCTTTTTCTGCCTTCTAAGGACTAGAAGATCACATTTGACAAGAGTCTTGGGTCAAATTTTTCATAGTTAGAAAAAACTAGCGAAAACTACAATTTCAAATCTGTAAAAATCATCAACAAAAAAACTGTTCCTAAGCTGTTCTGATACATAGAAGCACAACTACACTCACAAATACATTTAGTGTCTCAAAATAAGGCTAATAAATGCCTAGAAAACAACAGTTATGTAATACCATGAATGTTTAAAATCATACCAATATGAACTAAGTCAAAGGAGGAAAATGACAAAAAATTTCAGTCTGATTCTACTTTATACCACAACTAACTTAAAAAGGAGTAGAGACTTACTACTTCCAGAGGTGAAGGCTTCCAGCACCTCCAGCTGTCAGAAAGAGCTCTCTGTTCTGTGGTAGGTGTCGGACCTGCCATACAGTCGATTTATGAGCCTAGACAGGACAAGAGACAAATGTGGTTTATATGCTACATGGCATCCTAGAAGAGAAACCTTGTGAACAAGGAATTTTTACTACCATACCTTCAGCTGTTCAGAAAGGAACTAAGGTTATTTTCTGACACATCCCTTTATGATGGCAACTGAAATTTACAAGAGCCCACCACTTTGTTTTATGAAACAAAGTTCTACTGATTAAAAAAAAAGATTTTAGGTCAAAAGTCCACTTAAGTTTATATTACCACATAAATTATGAGAATAGATTTTATACATTCAAATATCCCAAGTTCATTCTCAGGGGGAAAACACCTCAAATAATAAAACATAATACTTCTTTCAAAAAAAGAAGGAAAAAAAAGCATAGAATTTTTTTTTTAAATACACTTTAGTTTTTAGAGCAGTTTTAGATTCAAGAAAAACTCAGTGGAAAGTAGAGTTCCCATTTATAGACGGGGTTTTAACTTACAACTCTGAGAACCTTATCTCAGTTTATTGCCATTTGACTGGTCTAGTCTTCAGATAAGGACTTCATGATGGTTTATAGACAGTGTTTATGGTCACAATAAGCCAAGGACTTTTTTAGTCACATTAAACAAAAGATTAAAAAATGGCAATGGAGGATGGGTATGGTGGTGTACACCTATGGTTCCAGATACTACAGAGGTGAAGGCAGGAGGATTGTGGTTCAAGGCTAGCTCCTACAAATTAGCACAAGACCCTTTCTCAAAAACAAACTAAAAGAGCAAAAGGGAGTCGGAGTGTGACTCAAGTGGTAGAGTGCAACCTAGCAAGTGTAAGGTCCTGAGTTCAATTGTCAGTACCACATGAAAAGAAAAAAAAAGGACAACTGAAGTGGGGTGTGATGGTACACTCTTGTAATTTCAGCATTTGGGAGGCTGAGGATCACAAGTTCAAGACCAACCTGGGCTACATAGCAAGACCCTGTTTCATTTGTCAATAAAAACCAAAAAGGCACCCAGAAGAAGGTTAACTGTCAGCACCTCATCAGCAGCCAGTGAATCCATCCTAGCAGAACTGTGCTCTCTGTGGGGGACCTGAGCAAAACTACAAGGACAACTGCTTGGTAGAAGCGGTGAAGCTGAATCTCAGCCACACTCAGACTCTTATCATTTTAGTGAGCAATTAATCCTCACATCTGACTTTAATAGTCTTTTGACAAACTGCCATTAGCAGGTAAAAACACGTATCTCAAAATACACACTTTATGTGAGCCCCTAGGTGATTAGGTTCAAGGTGCTGAAACTTATTTTTTCTTGTAGTTCAAACTTCTCTTTTTCTTCTGGAAGTTGAGAAAAATACAAAAAGTAAGAGGTAGAAGTGACCTCTAAAAATGTATCAGTCATTTATTTGACAGATTTAGCAACTACTGGATTAACTAAACATGACACAAAAAATTGAGACGATATGAATATTCAGTTAATGAGAATTGTGTTGCAAATTATATATAGAACAATTTGGTAAAGTGCTGTGTATCATTGATAGATACTTAACATATTCTGAAATAACACAGGTATAGCAATATTATAATTTGTAGCTACCTGGTTAAAAATTTAGTTCATCCAGCAGTACATAATACTACTGTAATCACAGGTTGACACAAAATAGGAATGTTTAAGAAATCCTACAGAATCCAAAGCAGAGGGAAAAGGAGCAAAGAAATGAAGTATTATTTCCTGAGCAACCCGTGGAATACCAATCTGTGATTAATCTTCTTTTTGATGCTCAAGGAAGCTCACAGTCACGCTGTCTGCCCATGTCTTGTAAATGGGAGGATGTTTCAACATAAGTTTTATCAGCCCTTCACTCCAGACATGATCTTTTTTTTTTTAATCCAGTGTTTTCCCTTCATTCTGTTCTCCTCATATGTTTTTCTAATGTTTTAACACCATGTTTGCCACTAAACTATCTCAAGTATAAAGGAAAGTATAAATAAATAAACCATTTTTGAACACCTACCATGTACTAATCACAGTAATGAGCACTTTAAATAGTTTCACCTATTGTAGTCAACTAGAATATAAAATAAACTGTGATGAGATGACGTAGTGGGTACACATTGATATATTTTGAAAAGTATACAATTAGGGACTAATAAAAATATTATGTATTTGCTAGAAAATACTAGGCAGGGTTTTGTTGTTTAATTTCTTAACATCAGCAAGGTTTCTTGTGATTGTTCCTAAACTACAAAATAAGATTCCTAGCTAACTAAGATCCATGTCATTATAAGCAAGAAGTCTAAACTGATAAACTTTGGGAAAGTACTCTTTGCACAAAAAATTTGTCAAGATCTCACAAGACTAACAAAAATAGCTCCCTCCACATAAAGATGGGAGGAACCCTGTGACTAATTCTACTTATTAATCTAAAACAAGTTATCATTCCTCTTCATAGACAAAGAAAGACATTTCCCTCATATTTACCTTTTCTGAAACAGAGGCAAAACCTTTGGTTGGATGCTGTGTCCTCATATCAAAGACATGGAATTTCCCTTCCAGAGAGGTAGCGACTAACTTATTCATGCTTATGTCTTTTCTGTCAAACTCCAAGCTACATACCTGAAAGCGGAGAACATTTATTACTGACCAGCTCAGCATTATAGACTCATCAAAAGGCTCCTTTAAACTAGGCAAACAGATTTAAAAATAGTAAGATCAAGTGACAGTACTTTTACTATCATTGTTTCTTTTGAATCAACACCTTAAGTACTTTTACTGTAAAAAACTATTCTGTTATTATGATCAACAAAACTGTCTTGGGCTCCCATATACAGTGAACACATCTGGAAAGTCAAAAGTTACTTTTTTACATTATTCAACACAGCTAAGTCAAGGCTGCCTTCAGAAAACAGGAGACAGCATGTTCTTTATTAAACGTGCTCAACTCAGGAACCCAAAACCCAAAGGTATGTGGAGGAGTTGTTACAACTTCAAGCAGAGAAGAGGCCTCTTACTTGCTCAATTTGATTTCACACTGCATGGTCCACAGGGTCCACTGATTCCCCTGACATTGCATAAACCATGCATCACTTTCTCAAGAAAGGAAGCATGGTGATCATGGGATTCTCAAGGGGGCGTCAAAAACCAAAGGTCATTAACCATTGGTAGGCCGAGAATGGTGATTCACACCTGTAATCCCTACTACTCAGGCAGAAACAGAAGGATCACAGTTTGAGGCTAACCTGGTCAAAAGTTATCCAGACCCCATATCAAAAACAAGCTGGGTGCAGTGCCCCACTCCTGTCATCCCAGCTACCTGGGAGGTAAATGTAGGAGGATCACAGACAGAAGTCCACCGAGGCAAAAGCATGAGGCCCTATCTGAAAAACAAACTAAAGGCAAAAGGACTGGAGTAGAGTGCTTGCTTAGCAAGCAAGAAACTCTGAATTTAATCCCTGGTACTGAAGAGAAAAAAAAAAAAAGGAACCGTTAGTAGTGGGTTGGCTGAGATGAGTAATAGATGTGCTTTTGAAACTTTGTAGTGGTTCGAAGAGTACAAAAACACTCAGAGAAACTAAAATGGCATCAGAATGCCCATTACCCCATTTTTTATATTTGTCTCCCACCGCAATGACATATTTCTGAGATCAAACAGTTTGATATCTCCATTGTCATAACCAGCACAGACAACACGTTCCTCTTGATTGTAAGCATTACCTGGAAATCAAAATTGAACATTTCAGGTTTGCATAAAGGTTAATTTGAAGAATACTAACAAAGTTATGAAACTACATATGACTTATGCCAAATCTCATTTTAAAAATCACATTGGGTAGAATTACATTTTATCAATTCTGACAGGATGTCAAAATTATTAATTTGGTATTTAATTTTTTTAAACAAAGCTCATTCATTGAAATTGTATACTTTAGGGGTACTGTTTTCTTTATTCTAAATGGAAAGAAAATGCTGTATCTATACAATGTCTGCAAAGACTACAGACCAACTACAGCTCAAATCTAGCACAGCTCTGCTTCTGTTTCTTTTCGTGGCAGTCACTGTATTTGAGTGCAAATAGAAACTACTTTGAAACTTACTTATTTTGAAAAATATTGTGCTGATGTTATTTTACCTTTGCAAGGGAATCTACAATGAGGTGGAGTATGTTGTGACACACACACATACACACACACACATATATATTTGGTATCACTGGGGTTTGAACTCTGGGCCACATGAGTGCTACGCAGACACTCTACCACTTGAGGTGATTCACACCTGTAATCCCTACTACTCAGGCAGAAACACAAAGCCCTGTTTTGTGTTGGGTATTTTTGAGATAGGGTCTCACAAACTATATGCCCAGTCTGGCTTAAAACCATGACTCTCTTGACTTCTGCCTGCCAATTATCTAGGATTACAGGCACTTGGCTGTTGTGACATATTTTTAGTAGTATGGATGATGATCGTACGTGAAGTTCAAACTCACAGGGCTTAGATCTAGGATTGTTTTCCTGAGTACCTTTTGCTGAGGAAAGTGTGCAGAGAGGCCCATCTCTGTGCTAGGCTAGCTGGATATCTTATCCCAATTCTTTCCTGCCTCCAACTTCCTCCTTCTCATAAATTCTAGCCTTGCATTTGTACTACGGGATCCACCTACATGGCACACCAGCAGCTTAAACTTGTGACATCCTAAACTGACCTCTCCACTTATCCCTCCCCACTACACATTACCAGTTAATTTGTTTAAAGCTCTGATCACATCTTATCCATGCAAAAACCTCTAGAGGCTCAATCAGTACCTCTAGAACATCCAACACTTCTGGCAGAGATCCAGAGCCATCTCAAAGGTACTCCCACCACCACTCCTGTCTAGATACTTCTTTGGGCACTTTCAAGGTATTCCCTATGATTGAAATATCCTCCCAATTTCAGTGGTAGAAATCCTATCAATCTTTGGTATGAGCTCAAATGTTCTTTCTCCCCAGCTATCTCTCCTTCTGGATTCCTTCTAAAGCTATCTACACCTTTTGGGACTTTTTATTACTCCAATCTTATTCTGTAATTAATGTGGATGCCATGTCCTCTTTATTAAACTATAAACATCTTGAGGCTAAACTATGAGCTGGATTCACCTTTGCATGCCCACAGTGCTTTGTATATCCTTGGCATTCACAAAAAGAAACTCAAGCCAGGCACAGTGAGTGGTTCACACCTGTAGTTGCAGCTACTTTGAAGGCTGAGGCAGGAGGACTGCTTGAGTCCTGGAGTTTGAGGCAAGTCTGGGCACCATAATGAGACCTTGTCTCAAAAAAAAAAAAAATCTCAAATTAACAGATAATTTTTAAAATTTAATGTTGTGTTTGTCAAATTGCCCTTATATCCCAGAGATCAGTGATAAAAAGCCTTCCATTAATCCAAAGATAACTAATTGTAATTATGATATTAATTTCAAAATAATCATTCTAAATACTGATCCTGATATTTCTACTCCAAATACATATATATATAAAATTTAAATTATTGCTCATAACATACAAACACAGAGTAATTCTCCAATTATAGAAGTTGGAGACATAAACTCTTCTCTAACTAAATAACAGTCCAACCTGGACATGGTAGTACACGCCTACAATCCCAGCTACTTGAGAGCTGAGGCCAGAAGATTATAAGTTCCAGACCAGACCTAGCAACTTAGCAAGAACCTGTCTCAAAATTTAAAAACTTTTAAAAAGAACTGGGAATGAAGATTACTAGTAGAGTGCTTGGTTAGCATGCCTGAGGCCCTGGGTTCAACCCCCCCAGTACCTCAAAACAAATAAATAAGTAAACAGTCCAATTTGGAAACTGCATCATGAACAGTTCGCATTTCATTCCTGTTATCTGAATAGGATTATACTAAGTAAAAGCAAATGAAAATAGAGGCTTAAAACTAAATATAGAGCAAGGTGTAATGGTGCATGCCTGTATCCCAGCTATTCAGGAGGTTGAGGCAGGAGGATTGAAAGCTCAAGGCCAGCCTGGGCCACAAAGCAAGACCCTGTCTCCAAACAAACAAACGAACGAACAACCAACCATAACAGAAATTAACTAAATATGGCCCATGTCCTTTAGCAGCAAAACTTAATTTAATTTTGGTGCTTGGTAAGAAAGCCATGGTCAAGGATCAGTTACTTCTACAAAATCAACATTCATTATAAGTATGTTAATAAAGGAATACAGAGCTATCAAATTTATAAGAAATAATTTTAAGACGGCATAACTATTTTTAGAAGCACACTCTAAAATTTAATGTAAGACTTGTTAGGTTATCATTTGCATTTGAGACTGCTTAGTCCCATTAATGTCATTTGGCTCTAAGCTAGGTCAAGATTATCTAATTAAACAAACAGAAGCACATAATCATAATAGCAAATATTCTGAACACTTAATAATCTAAGCACAATTCTAAGCACTTTATATCCACTAACTAACTGAATCCCCAAAACGACACCATCAAGTAAATTTTACTATTACTTTCATTTTGTAAATTAAGCAACCAAGAAACAGGGAAGTTTGGTAACATGCCCCAAGGCACACAATAAGTAGCACTGAGAAGATTCAAACCCTGGCCCCAGAGGCTGACATTAGCCACTAAGATATTGGCTTCAATCGTCAAACTAATCTACAAAGCTGACTATTAAGAGACTTGGGATTTCCTGATGCCCTGTGTGCTTTGCTGTCTGAATTCAAATGCTAGAGCTCTTCAATAATTTACCAAATGCCACAGTCCAACAGTCTCTCCTGTTTTCTCCTTGTACAGGTTCCATATTAGCAACAGGGTCATCTTTTTGCCGTGGGTCCCACACCTTCACAGTTCCTGTCACGAATAAAAGTGAGTTGGCAAAATTCAATAGTGAATGATTACCCTTCCTTTCTGCATCCTTTCCCCATAGCTTGTGTATGATGGTAATTATTATAGATGTTTTGACATGTGAAGAATATCCACATTTTTCTGACCTCTCGTTGGTTAGAAAGTTGTATTTGATATCAAACATATAACCCATGTTACTGTCTGACATGATTCCCAAATTAACAGAGTCACAGAAAAGCCGTTCCTAAGTTTCCAATAGGTTATGACTGACAGGGCAAACATAAATGTTATGTAATTCAAACTATGCCTATTTTCTTTGAGTCTACGATTAATGTATTATTTATTTAGAATAATAACATTGTTTTTTTAAATAGTGCTGTTTTAATTTTTATTTTTTCCCTTGACTGTTTTCCATTGACTTTTTTCTTATATAGAAGGAAAATGCTCCAATTTTTACAAGTATGTTTTTATATGAGATTTAAAATACTATTTCACGTACTATTATGTTTAACTTCCTTCCAGCAATAGTAAAGAGGAAAATGTTAAATAAAATTAATAAATAATTCTTCTCATTTTAATTTTAATCCCTTCATGTTAATCCATATTATAGGACTACAAAGTAAGTAGTGTCTCTGCCTACAAGAAAGGAAAGTGATGTAATAAAATGACTGAAAGGCAAGTATCTGAGAGAAAATAGGAAAAGAAAAAATTCTTAAAAGGCATAATAACATGAGGAAAGGGGAAGCTAGCCCATTAAATTTATCTCCAGGGATAAAGCTGGTCGTTAAAAAGGTGCCTATAAGGAGAAAAACACTTCCCACAAATATGATAAGAGACTATTACCTACTGTATAGTGTTTATAAAAATTGGTAAGATTTGTGGTAAATTTACAATAGTTAAACTAACAAAGAACATAAAAAGACAATTCATACAATAAAATGAAAGCTAACACTAGTAAGTAAGCACTAAAAGACTTTAACACAGGTTGGAATGGAGTAATATGTTTAATCTATAAAATTAGGAGGAAAAAGAAAATCAATGCCAAGAGCCTAGGCTGGAAAACTACATTATCACTGTCGCCAGCAGTGGTTAAACAAGGACCTGGTAAAGTTCGGCAATAAATTTTAGGAATCATAAAATATGATTATTCCTAAAGAATTACACACATGGTAATAATCATTTCTTCATTATTTTAAGTCACTCTCCTAAACAATAAACAAAAAAATCTGAAAGAACACTGAATGCTTATCAATAGGGGAATGGTTGAATTCACTGCAGTAGAGCTATACAATAGAAAATTATGTAAGAATTAAAATAACAATTATGAATTCAGCAACATTTGCATGTGACAAACATTAAAAGAAAAAAAAACACCCAATCATATTCACACTGACATATGTAAGTTGTACATAAAACTGAAAAAGAAAAAAAACCCTAAGGACTATATGTGATCAGACTCAATGCTACTTCTCCTTCTATATTCCATATTGCTTTTATTACTAAAAGAACTGATTTCCAAACACAGCTGCTCTTGTATAACTATTAGAAAACAATCACTTTTCTCTTAAAATAATTATTTTAAGCCAACAAAGGTACAACTATTAGAAAACAATCACTTTTCTCTTAAAATAATTATTTTAAGCCAACAAAGGTACAATCAATCTCTCACATAACCCCTGTGAAGCAACAAAAACTCTGAGTCCATGACAGCTGTTCAGAATAGTTCTGGACACTGACAGACCCTGTTGGTCACCACAGGGTAAAAGCCATGCTGGTGCCCTTCGAGCTCTTTATAGTGCTCAGTGGATGGAATACAGAACTTCAGTTTTCAACCAGCTGTCAATATGACAATTTCACAAGTACTAATTCTGCCTTTTAAAAAAAGAAAATGAAAAGCTGCCACCCACATTATATCGTCAGCTGCCTCAAAAAACTGGTAAAGACAGTTTAAATCCTTCAAGGTTCAGAGGAAGCTATCATTATTAGTAGTTGAACTAGCTCAACACTAAAATAGTAAGTGCTATTCCTCTGTTTTAAAACAGCATAGCCAGAAGTCTGAGGGATGTGCAGTCAAACTTGTATATTAAGAACAAAGAAGCAAGACTGTGGAATTTAGAGGGTCAAGGCAACAGAAGATGATTTGCATGTAGAGTGTATACTGTTGCAGAGATTTCCAAATGAAAATTGTTTAGAAATACTTAGAGCACATTCACTCACCATCTCGGCTGCCAGTCACAATTTCAGGTGCTCCTTCCCCAATTCCAAGTCCACCTACGCCGTCAATAGTGTTTATAATTTCTTTGTGGCCCTTTACAGAATACACTGGCAACTCTGGAGCTTCCAAGTTCCTAAACAGAAAATATTAGCATGCTACTTATACTACATGTCCCAAACATTTAAGTCTACCACTAAACTTGAAGAATATTAGCTGGGCTCTGAGTGGCTTATACCTGCAATTCTGGCTACCTGGAGGCTGAGATTGGGAGGATCAAGTTTCAAGGCCAGTCATGGCAAATACTTCATGAGCTCCCATTTCCAAAATAACCAGAGCAAAATGGAGTGAAGGTATGGCTCAAATGGTGGGAGTACCTGCTTTGCAAGCACAAAGCTCTGAGTTCAAAACCCCAGTCCCACCCAGAAGAAAAAGAATATAGATCATATTTAAATCTTTATTTAAAAATAAAGGTTTTGTTGTAAAGGTAATTTATACATTTACTTCTAAATTTTCCTCTCCACTAGGTTCTTTAAACCCCCATCTAGAACTGTCGTTATTCAACCTGGGCCTGCTTTACTTAGGGTTCTTCAAAGACCATCTATCTCAGTGTGCTTTTAATAAATGCAGATTCACAGGCTGTCACTAGGTGTCATGAGTCAGGGCCTGCTGACAACGGGGCACACGGCAGCCTGATAACCACCCGTTTACAGCTCTGATAAGTCGCGTGGTTAGGACACTTCCAAAGCTGGCCTCGCCAGCAGGACCAGCAGACCCTTTGGAAGGATGAACGACTGGCATTTACTTTATAGTGTGTTATTTTTCACCTAGTGACAGATTTTTTGGTATCTCCTCATGCTGGCCACAATAAATATTACAACTAGTCTTGCTGAAGTCCTGTAATTCATTAGCTGAGACAAGGGCACTCAGGACAGCCCTGATTACCACATGTGCCTGAGTCGGCTGCACACTAGCTGGCTGGGTGCTAATGACTGGACGAGGCTGTGCTCACAGGGCCTTGCCGGCCTCCCTCCACTGCCCTCCTTCTTTTTCTTCTCTAAGGAGCTTATATGCACATTTCTTAGTAAGTCTTTTTTCAAAAACTTACATTTTACTACTTAGTTAACTTATTTTTGCAGTAATGGAGATTTGAACCCAGGGCTTCACACATGGTAGACAAGCACTCTACGACTGAGCTATACGCTCAACCCTATTCTTATATTTTACTTTGTTTTTAAATTTTGAGATAGAGCCTCACTAAGTTTCCCAGCTGGCCTCGAACTTATGATCCTCTTGCCTCAACCTCCTAAGTAGCTAGGATTACAGGGGTGCAACATCACACCCTGCTCTGTTTTACTATTTTTACAGACTTTCTAACACTACTTGCTTTAAACATGCCCCATTCTTTTTTCGCTTTTATTATTTTTCAGATAAGTTCTCATGCTTTTTTGCCCAGGCCAGCATCACACTGTGATCCTCCTACCTTTTGACTCCTGTGTGGCTGTGATTACAGCTGTGTCACAGTACAGCTGACTTGTTCTTTGATATAGAGTCTCATTAACTTTTGTCTAGGCTGACCTCAAACCACAATCCTCCTTCCTCTATCTTCCAAGTAGTTGAAGTTACAGGTATGAGCCCCCACACCCAGACCCTTTCTCTCAATTTCTGTGAAAGTATATGAAATAGCCTGTAATATGTGGTACAATTTAATTACTGACCAATTAAAGCAAGGAGAAATTAAGCTAGCTTCATCCTGATTTATATTATGATTCTGAGATAGGCTAATATGTCAAAGTATTTTAATTTTAAGGTAGCATACTCCAAGTTAGAATCAAGAAAGGTCTTGTTAGAAAACATGACATAAGGACTATGGTTTCTTTCTAGAACATTACTGTCTACTGAAAATAATAGATTTTCCTGAAAAGTAATTACAGAAGAATTTCAATTCATTCAACTCAAAATATGAAGAAATAACTCTCGATAAGACATAAAAATGAAAAGCACTTGGCACAATTGTGATTTTGTTCTTTCAAAACAGGTTTAGCTTGGTTTGTTCAACAGATATATTCCTAAAATGTTGTGCCTAGATGTTAAAGCATTAAAAAAGCAAACTTGAAGTGAAGTGGGAGTTCTATAGTAAAAAATTAAGACACAAAATCAGAGTATTGTTCTGCCAAATCTCTTGCTGAGATGCACACATAAGAACTAATTTTCCATGTTACACATGTATGTTTTTATATATTGCATCATTAAAAGTAGAGAAGACTACAGCTTTATTTCCAGACACAGGACATTAAATACTAGTACTGTGTGAGAAAATTCAACATTGACAACATTACTTGAAATGTCTAAAGGAAAATAGGTTAGTGTTGTAAAGTGGATTTTAAAGATGAAATCTAGAAATATAATTAAAAATAATCCCCATACTTTCATAGTTAATAGTGAACAAGAAAAGAATATTTTTAAATCAAAATTCTTTCAGAGGAAGAGCAATAAAACTATTATTGATAACTTTCTTTGATAAGAAAGTGCTTATGTCCTATGTCTGAACACTGATTGAATAATCTTACCATATATGAAGGTTTCCTTCAAAGTCTCCAGTTGCTAGGTATCTCTGCTGTAAAGATGTCGCACCAAATGTTCCACACTTAATGGGTTTGGACTTTTCAATCTTGATAGAAGGGAGAAAGAGAGGATACAATATTTATGTATGCAGTTATTTATAGTCCACAATATTTTTGGCCCTACTGTGGGGTTTTAATAAGATACATACTATAAAAGGCAATTAAAACATTTTCTGATAAAAATGTCATGTTCTTTCCTTAGTCATTTTTCTATAATTTTAAAGTACATAATTGTCAAAAAGAGTTATAATTTGCTTTTCTTTTTATCTCACTGAGACATTCAACTACTGATAACTCTACCATCTCCACTGGTTTGCAAATATGCAAGTTTCAGCATTTAATGTGCTATTCTTTTAAGATCCTCAGAAGAAATTCGAACATGATGAAGACAGTCTTCCTTCCAGATGGCTGCAGGAACAAAGATGTGTCTCTAACACTTTTCCCTGCAGAACCCTAAAGACTGAAGATGCTAATGGACCACTTGCTCCGGGACCTTTTCAGTTCATAGAGATTTGGACACCCATGTGTACTAAGACATTGCCATTAGTATGGATTAACCAATCTTGTCAGATTTCTTTCATTTACAGGCTGCTGTTTTAGGTGTTGTGTATTATCACATCAGTAAGACAGTCACACCAATGCACTGATTAAGGTATGGGCTTATTCAGGTGAAGACCACCACACCACACAAAAAAGGGCCCTTGGAAACGATCCAGTACACCACCCACCTAATCATAGGAGACTCAAGCCTAGAACTTTGCAGATTTGCCCACATGCTACATTAGTCTCCTTTACCTCCTATGGTTTTCAGTTTCCCCCCTGTCCCTCCAGACCCCAAATCCACCTGCCCGGGTCACTGAAGTCCCTCCTAGAGTCTTAGGGCTTTTCCTGCTGCCTTGGGCCATGGAGACCCTTGAAGCTGGAATTAGATGAAGTCACTACTGCTGCCTGGTGCACACCATGCTCTTATTTGCTGTCAGCCTCAACAGAGCAAAACTATTTGCTTATTTACTCTCTTACAATGTTTCCACTTTAAAATTCTTAATGTTTATAAAAGTAATGTATATTCTGTATAAAAATTCAAACAAAACAAAACAAAACTGGAGGGAAAAGTGAGTTCTTTTTACACTCTCCAGAAGTAATGCCCATCCTTCTGCACCTTTTCCTACACGTTTCAGGGTTCCAGGTTTTGTTTATTATGCAGATGCACTTTTAGAATCTATGCAATGACAAGGGACCCATCATGTGATAGACTGGTTCCTAGTTCCTTTTCTTTCCTTCGTAAAAAGCGATTGTCAGATGTGTTTAGGCAGCAGAGAATCTGCACATTGTGGTGCTGTTTAGGAAACACCACAAGTATTACAGCAGTCCCCTTGTAGTACGTGAGCACCCTAAGAACAGGGCCTTCTCACATTTGCTTAGTACCTGGCTATGCTCAACACCTGCAGAAGGAAGGTGCATCTCCTGGCCCCTTAGCCCAGTGCTGGGCAGCTCAGAGACCCCTGGGCTGGAGCTCACTTCCTTGCTCTCCCTTTCTCCCACCAGGTTCTCGTGTGCCATGGCACTGACACAGTTTCTTGGTATTACATGCAATCATGAAAACAGCTTCCATACATAAAAAACCTACATAATCAGATGCTGCTCTACATGTTTCTTCCTGAAGAGACCTTCTCTTCCCTTAGTAGCACCTCCCATACTGCAAACTAATGTTGGAACACCACTTTCAAGATGAGAAGTAACTTGGCTTAGGTCACTTTTCAGGCTATGACTCCAAGCTCTTTCTACTAAAGGTGTATTCTGCCTCTAGGCTTATATGTAAATCCATTAAACATTTTATTATGTAGCCCCTTCTGTAAACTAATTCATCAGAAATACCAAAGAAATATTCCAATCCTGAAGTGGACTGGAGAGCAAAATGGTATAGACATGAACTAAGCCTAATTTCAGATTTCTGTCCTTTAGGTTTTTTTTTTTTTACACTCATTCATAACTTTACACTCATTCATACCTTCGTTTTTTTTGCTTTTGATATGGAAGACAGGTTTATAGATACTAATGATCTGATGTGCAACAATCAAGCTCAAAATATACAGATATTAAAAATAAAAAAATATTAGTATCTTGTCATTTGCACGAAGTGAGAACTACATTTTGCTCAGAGGACTGAGTTCTCCTGGCAGATAGGCTTCTAAAAGCAGGCATGTTTTCTGTGCAACTCAGAATAGTAATTAAATTAAGAGAGGACACTACTGAAACTAATTTTTTTTTCTTTTTTTAGTGGTCCAGGAGGTTGATCTCAGGGCCTCACACTAAGCAGGCATTCTCTCACTTGAGTCACTCCGCCAACCCTTGGAAACTAATTTTTTATAGTACACAAAAGGGCTATCTCTCTAATTCTGTTAAGTATTCCATCTACAGAAATGAAAACATGCACAGAATTCAGTTGTAATTTAAAATTTCTTGTTAGAAAACTGGTTTAAAAAAAAAATCAAGATTTGGTGAAAAATATTCCCCACCAAAAATTAAATGTATAGTGATAATTTTTGTGATATGATATTAAAAATTACCATCAGTGACAGTTTACTTGATCTAGATTTTGGTATTATTTGCTACAAGGATACATTAACACAACAAAAGAAGCCCAAGATCAATAATTCTTACAAGAGCTATTTTTGTTCAGTCTGTGGGTGGGTCTAGTACAGCTTGTCAGTATTTCCTCCTCCACATCCTGGCACTATTTAATTAACATTCAAAGGTTTAGTCAACCAAATGCTAACAGACAGTGAATTTAATAGCACAGGGGCTAAAAAGGCAGAACTTTATTAGTGCATTGCAAATTTGTATAGTATAAACATCCACAACTATGATTCCATTTCTCAGGGCCACGCCTGTCCATATGGTACCTTTGTGCCAATTAGGAAAAAGTTGTGCTTTGTAAGCTGATGAAGTCTTACACACGGAAGGCTCAAAGGAAAAAGAGATAAGAACACTATGGTTAGACACCTTTGTGTGGTGCAAGAAACTGCTGTACAAGGAGGCCCTGCTCTCCATCCCCTACCTATCCTTTTAGTAACGAGATAAAGGGGTCATCAACAAAGACTGGTCTGCTTACTTCGAGTGTTGTGGCTTTGGAGAACTTGTCTTCAGTGGTTTCCACCATGACAAATCTAGTATGTTTCCTAATATTGTAACAAATAATCCATCTGGCTCAATGGTTCTCAACCCAGGTACTCGTTAGAATCATCTGGCAGAAGTTAAAGAAAAGTACTGATGTCCAGGCCTTACTCTCATCTAAAATGTAGCACAATACCTTTGCGTCAGAATTTCTAGGGTCAGGACAAAAGCATGACTATTTTAAAGCATGCGCAAAACAAACAACAGCAACAAAACATATTCACGTGATTTGCAGTAAAAAGTGAGAATCACTGAACGTAGAACCTACATTCTTTCCCATCATACCACCTGATCAAATTCACTGTCAGTTCTTAAATGTGTTTTTCTATTTGTTTTACCTTCTTTTTAGACAGTAGGCTTTTGAAGAGAAAGGATGCATCTTCCAAATACTATTGGTTCTTTTTTTAGCACAGTACCTCCAAAGAGTAGATTCTCAGTAATTCATGGTAGAACAAAAGAAGACCCAAGGATCCTGATGAAAATATGAAAGTACTTATTCTGGTGTTGAGATTATGGGTGATACATTCTCTTCCCCCATCTATATTTTCTAAGTGCTCTCTTATGAGCAAATAATACTTTTGCAAATAGAGTTTTTATTTTGCTAAAATTCTCCAGAAATTCTAGAGGAGACAAAGAGCACTGTTTCACTCAATGGACTAAGTGTGTTACTGAAATGTATACAAATAATTCTTAGGAAAAAAGTCTACAGATGCTTTGTGGTTGAACTTCAACTGGCATCTGTTCCCAATACTTCCCTTTTAAGCTTCTTTCTCCTATTTCAAGGTTTTCCACTTGTTCCTCTGGGCCCAAGCTGATTAATGATCACTAAAGCAGTATTTAAATCTCCCAAGATATATCCTATTTATAGACATACATTTCCCAAACAAATGATTGTATATCATTCATACATAATGAATATTTATTGAATGGCTGCTCCTTATAAACCACACTAAAGAAAGTTACTGTCCTTATTCTCTGGGAGCTTACAATCTAGTTAGAGAAAACTAAGACAAAAAAAGGTATTTCTAGCACAGATAATAAGTACTATAGGAATACAATATAAAGAAAAGTTACTTTGGGGATCAGGAAGGGCTTCACACATCAGATCAAATGAGTTGGTCATTGGAGACACAGCAGGTGACTTGGAGTTAAGTGATGAAGAACAGGAGGAAAGTGGAAAAGAACAAGCCGTGTTTCCATGTTTAGAAGCTCTGAGTGCCTGGCTAGAGAAAAACAGCTGAACAAGCAAACAGGCACTCAGGGAAGTTCAAAGTAGGATGAACAAATCCAAATTGTATTCATCCCTTACCTCAGACTGACCCCTACCTCCTCCAAGTTCACTCTCTCCGTAGTGCCGAATCCCTGGAGTTCTCAACCTTCCCTGCACTTGTAGTCTACTAAAACCCTAAACACCTGATTATGACTGATCTTTTTTCCAGCAGCCCAAATCAAGATATTTTTTAAAATCATAAACATCTACAAAAAACATTTGTTATAGCCAGGTGTAGCGGGACTCACCTGTAATCCCATCTACTTGGGAGGCTAGGGCAGCAGGATCACAAATTCAAGTCCAGCTAGGGCAACAAAGCAATACCACCCCCTCCCATTTCAAAAAACTTTTTAGGCTTGGGGCATGGCTCAAGAGGTAGTTTAAACCCCAATTCTGCCAAACCCTTCCCCCCCCAAAAAAAAAACAAAAACAAAAACAAAAGAAAAATGAAAAATATTATCAGTATTCTCTTTTTCACTAGTGATCTTTATAAAGCTTGTAAATACGGTCTTGCCACACACTGCTAAAAGCCCTTCAACGATGTCCTATTTTTCTTTAAAGCACAAGTCTTTTAAATGTCCTACAGATCCTGCAAACACCTAGTTCCTGCTTAGCCCTCTTGTTTCTTCAGGAGATTAACTATCTCCCATCACTGAGCTTCCACACATGGGATTTCCTCTGGAAAGCTGTCCTTCACTCCTAGAGGAGACTAATTAGTTTCTACTCACCTTAAATCTGTTTTTACTCATAGTACCATGTGTTCCTTTGTGTTAAAGAACTCATCTCGGTTTGCATTTATGCACCTTTGGTTTGATCATTTAACTAATTATCTCTCCCACTAGAAATAAACTCCATGAGTTTGGCTACAATGCTGCTTACGTAACTGGGAACTCCAAGCCCTCCACTGACACTTTGGTTTAAAGAATGTGTTGATTGTTTCCTGCAGCTACATGGCAGATCTCCTGGTGCCTGCTTTGGCTCTGCTTACATTAAAAAGCATTTAAATATGGGCATACTGACTGCCTCTCTACAAACAACGGCAAACTACCTAAAAGGTCCTCGAATTTGACCCGAAATCTTAACGTCACTTTCCAGAGACCTCGCGCTGGACAGCACCGACGGTGGCAGGAGGAAGAGGCTGGCAAGGCGCATGGGAATCAGGCCTCGGAAAATAGTTTTTTAAGTTCGAAGCATTTCTCAACCTACAATCAGTTTCTCCGGTACCGCGCGGTTCGAGCTATACTTTTGGGGGACGCTGGAAGAAGGCTGTGGCAATGAGAATTGCAGACCCCAGGTCACGCACTCGCCCGCAACAGCGGTCGTGAGCCTGGAGCTGGTTCGTGTCGAGCCGGCACCCACCTCCCGAAGCAGCTTCAGGTCTCCGTGCTGGATCTCGTACAGCTGAATGACACCGGTGCCCCGCGCGAAGTTGCCCATAGTAACAAACTTAGCGCTGCAGGGCACCCACTTACAGTCAAACACCGTGTAGTTGAGGCTCTTCTGAATATGGGCGATGATCTGAGGTTTCTCGAAGGCCGACATGGCTCGGCCGATTTCACCTCCAGTAACCGTCACACCAGACCCCGACAAAACACTAACTTGGAAACCAGACTCCAAACATTAAAGACAGCTTGTCCCTCCCGCTTTCCGTACTCTATCTCCGGCATCCTAGCAAACTGGACTTAGTTGTCTCCGATAATGCCTGATGCGCTGCTGAGATCGCACAAGATGTTTGTCCACCAACAGCATACGTTTGGCTATGGTTTTCACCCAGTGACGTTCTCATGTATACGTATGAGAGTTCACAAATGCTCGGTTGTGAGTTGCGCGACCGAGGGCTACCCTAAGAATCAGGCATATTTTAGGATACTCCCAATAGACGGCTTCTGTTTCGGGCCCCCGGCGTGGGACGTCTTTAAGAAGGGGCGGAGGCCTGTGGTTGATTGGTGGATGCTGGGTCCTACGTGGTGCGCCTGCTCGGTGCCGCAGCGCACGTGTTGTCGCTCCAAGTGCTTGTCGAGTCAAGTGATGGCCGAGATGCAGACTCAGAGCGCCGGGGCCGAGGACGGCTTCAGCCAGATCACCCGCAAGGGTGGCCGGCGGGCGAAGAAACGACAGGCTGAGCAGCTGACCGCAGCGGGGGAAGACGGAGACGCGGGTGGCATGGACGCGGAGGAAGCCCGGCCGTTGAAGAGGCCCGTCTTCCCTCCGCTGTCTGGAGACGTATTTCTGGTACTGGCGGGGACTCGAAGCAGGGGCGGGTCAAGCTGGTGGCCTGTGGATGATGTCTTCAGCCGTGAGGTTTTAACTAGCTCAATTAAGGGAAGCTTTTTGCGGGTCATCTGTCATTTTACAACTCCACCCGCATCCCAACATCTCGTGAGTTGTGGTTTTTTTTGTTTATTTGTTTGTTTTTTTAATTGCAGAGTGGGAAAGAAGAAACACGGAAAATTCCAGTCCCAGCTAATAGATACACACCACTAAAAGAAAACTGGATGAAGATATTTACTCCTATTGTAGAACATCTGGGACTTCAGATACGGTTCAACTTGAAATCAAGGAATGTAGAAATCAGAGTAAGAGTGTTATCCATTTTTGAATCTTCTGTTTTCTCTCCTATAGAGATGGAAAGACACAAATAGATTTTCCTTAATAGACCTTGTTCTAGTAAATGGTCTTTTTCGGTTTTTTAATACATCATGATGAGTTTGAATTCAGGAATGCCTTCAAAATCATCATTCAATATAAATATTAATTGAATCCCTAAACTGGTTCTGAGATTATATCAAAATACTTGCTAGGGCTGGGCGTATCTTCGAAAGGCTAAGTACACAGATATATGAAAATGTTAAAATGTTAGATATAAGTACTCACTGCAGTGCAAGTGCTATAGAAGTAGTATTGTTTTGGGGGGGGGATGTGTTACTTTGAGAAAAAAAAACTTATCACACACACACACAAACGTTTTGGTTTTCATTCTATGATGTCAGTCCAAGAGTCAGACTGGTACAGACTAGTTGGTAAAGCTTAAAATAATGTAGGATGTAACTAGAATCCCTCTTTGCTCCCATTGCTACTCTCAGGCTTTTTTGGTTTCATGACACAACATGTTTCCTTTGCATCATTATTTTAAGTCTCTCCTTTTTCCACTCCATCTTCTGTGCCAATGCCAGATTATCCTAGATCACAATGCTTCTATTATGACATCCTGGCATCTTAAGCATTTTTAAAGGATAAAAAGTTAATTGATTTAGCCTCCCTTTCAAGTAGGATTCCCAGTCACAAGTTCTTCTGTCACCAGTTCTTTATGTTTTTTGGTGGCTTTGCTTTCAGGAGAGGCTTTCCTCTGTACTCCTTTCTCTTCCTTCATCAATTCCAATCATCTTTCAAAAGTCTAGCTGAAGTTCTTTCTCCTTTATAAACCCCTTTTTTAGTTACTTCTTCAGCACCTAAACCTTTATTTTGTTTAGCTGTTTTATTTATTACAGCTAATATCAATTAATTTATTATCAATTTGGAGTCTTAGTATTTGTTCATGTGGCCGTACTAAACACAGTGGTACTTTGACATGCCAACATCATTTAGTCTTAGGGCAGCCCTGTGAAGCAGATGAGAGATCCCCGCTAATGGATGTGAGAAAATAGAGGGTCAAAAATACTGAGTGTTTTGGCCAAAGTCATCAGGCTAATAAGTGAATTTTGATGATGGTAGAGACCAGTCAGGACCTTCCACTCTGACCTCCTTGTTTTATAGATGAGAAAACTTAAAGCCTAGAGTATCTCCAGGTCTTGCTCAATGTCACATATAAGATTGAAATTGGGATCTAGTTTTAAATGTGAAAGCCCAGAATATTTTCCCACAACACTATTCTGGATGTGTTTAAATTTGTCAAATACCCGGTCTCCTCAACTCTACTGTGAATCTGGGTGGAAGAGTGGAAGTAATAGTTTTGAAATCAGACCTGTGTTTGAATCTTACCTATTTCACTATTTAGTACTTTAGTTTACTCCCATATAAAAGTGTATCACATAACATTGAAAGTCATCATGCAGATCAAAGCTAGTATGTGTAAAGCATGTTATTTACAAGGATAGGGATTTTATAGTAGTTATTTTTACAGCTGCTAAGTAAATTACTTGAGGACAGAAACCCCACTTAAACTATTGTTGATTTCCCCCCTCAGCAGCAAGCATACAAGTAGTTAGGACCAGAGTCATTGATTTAGGAAATAACATAAAAATTATATCTGTATATATGAAATCACTGATGTCAGAAGTCTAGGTCGGGACTCCCAGGGAAGACTGCCTTGAGGGAGGAGAAAAAGGACTAGCCTGGACAGTGAAGGAGTAGACAGCCATTGGGTTGTGCTAGAGGAATGTTGCTGTTAACCCAGGATCAGTCATTTCACAGTCTTTGGGTGGAGTTGCCCAGTTCAGGGGGTAGGAAGGTTTTGTTTTGCAAATTAAAGACAGTGCTTATCTTACCAAAAACTGGACCATAATTGACCATATAGAGGAAGGATGGTGGTGAAGGAAATTATAATAATGGGAAGTCATTTCTGGTATTTTGTTAGAATGTTTTCTTTTTCATTCCCTCCATAATTTATAATTTAATTACCGTTTTTTTCAGACTTGTAAAGACACCAAGGATGTTAGTGCTCTGACAAAAGCAGCTGATTTTGTGAAGGCCTTTATTCTTGGATTTCAGGTAGAGGTGAGTGATTTTGTGATACCTAAAATAAGACTTGAAAAAGAAAATATTCAGTGTGGATGTTTCAATGGATTAGTCCCTTTTCAAAGCATTAAATCTTATAGCACTAGTTTGTGAAATTTAGTTGCACAGTGCTTTCTGTGTCACTCATTCTGCAGTGTCTAAGTTCAAGGTCCTTTACAGTGTTTACTTCCATGTTCTAGGATGCACTTGCCCTCATCAGGCTTGATGACCTCTTCCTGGAGTCTTTTGAAGTTACAGATGGTAAGCATCTGGTGCTCTGCCCAACTGTTCTTTTGTGTTGCTGATTTTGAATTGTGTTGTGACTTTGTTTCTAAGAGTATTTTGATGTATTATTAGCACTTTTTAAAAAATGTGTATATTTTATGTTATAAATCTGGTTAATGATTAATATTTATAAGGAAGAGGATGTCACTCTGGATCAGCTTACTGCCTGAGATCTTGCTTTTTCTCTTCTAGTTAAGCCCCTGAAGGGAGACCATCTATCCAGAGCAATAGGAAGAATCGCTGGCAAGGGAGGAAAAACCAAGTTTACCATAGAGAATGTGACACGGACACGAATAGTTTTGGCAGATGTGTAAGTATCTGAACTTGAGAAAAGTATTGTAAATTATATTTGATCTTTGGTTAGGTTCAAAAAAGTCAAGACAGTTTTATTTTGTGCTTGGTGTTGCTGCTAAGTCTTTGTAGGTATATGGTTCTGAATTAGTAGTGCCTCTTTGAAAGGAGATTAGATTAAGAAAATTTCACTAATGATAACTTTTTTCTCATTTAGCAATAAGAAGTGTTTGAATCACTCTTAAAAGAACATTATATCACTTCTCAGCTTTTTGGCTAGGACCAAGTATAGTATCTGTTCTTACCAGTTTAATATCTGGTTAATCCTCTATCCAAGGACAATATGTTAAATGGATTTTTAGAGCAAGGAGATGGAATGGGAGCTTGCTCCATCCCCTCCACATATTGTAGTATCAACCAAAATGCTGTACCCCATTCCACAATCAAAAAAAAAAAAAAAAAAAATAGGGCTCATGTGATACAGCACCTGCCAGTATTCTAAAGTGTGACACCCTCAGTTCAAACCCCAGTACTGCCAAAAAAAAAAATTTTGAATTGAAAATTAAAAGAAATGATACTACAGTAAAGATTTAAATGGCAACATAAGGGAATCTATTAAATCAGTTAAGGGAGACCAAGCAGTGGGTATTTCAAATGCCATTGTAAAGCATGCCTTTGAAATATATATCCATATAAGTACATGTATCTGTATTTTTAGAAATATATGTACACTATGTATTTCTAGACTTTGATAAAAGTAATGTGAGTATTGCACATTGGGTAAAAAGTTCTCAAGCAGTTATATGTGAACACAGATAAGATGACACGGGCTTAAGGTACACCCAAGGGTACAGGAAGTAAAGCTGGGGACCCCCCCCACAAGGTCAAAGCTGCTCTGTTGTCGATTAGGCTCAGAGCTCTATGTAATGCCACAAAGTTGAAAATGAAGCAGTTGACGACTGAGGGGCAGAACAATCTGCTTATAACTCAATCCAGACATAATTTTCTTTACTACTTCACTTTTGCTCTAAACTTACCACTATTTAGACTCTAAATTTTGGACATTATTTATACTTTAAGGATAATTATGATACTACCTGAGGCCAGGTATATTGTCAATACAGCCTGTCGTCTAATATATGGTGCCAGAGTTTTAATGCTGGAAGTTTCAAAAACATGGAAATGTATACCACATTTACTTACCAAATATAGCCCTAAAAGGTTTTGTTAATTTAGAAATTCTGTGACCTAACTGATTTGCTAGTGAAATTATGGCTAATATGTCATTAAATTTATAATTTTTAAATTTAACTACTTCTAATTAAGCTCACTTTTTAATTTTTTTGGAACTCAGGGCCTCATGCTTGCTACCCTGATGCTCTTTTGCTTGGGCTATGCCCCCAGCTCTTTTTTTTGCCTTTACTAAGTTTTCAGGTAGACCCTTAAATTTTTACCTAGGGCTGTCCTGGACCTTGATCCTCCTATCTCCTGCCTCCTCCAGTAAGCTGGGATCACAGGTGTACCACCATACCCAGCTTGCTGACTGAGATGGGGGTCTCACTAAATTTTTGTCTAGGCTGACTTCAGACTCTTCTGTCATCCCGATCTCTGCCTTCTGAGTAGCTGGGATTGCAGGTGTAAGCTTTGTGTCTGGTCTTAATCCAGTTTTTTAAGTTTCTTATAGTGTAATTTACATATAATAAAACTTGCCTGTGTTAAGTGTCCAGTTCAATGAATTGGCTAATATGATATGGTCCTGACCTTCACCTACACTCCCTTAGTCCATCATCCTGAAAGTTCTATGTGCATCTTTTTTTATCGGGGATTGAACTCAGGGCCTCACAAGCCCTGTTTCACTTGAGCCACACCTGCAGTCCTTTTGTTTATAGTTTGTTTTTCTGATAGGGTCTTTCAGTAACTTTATATGGACTGGTCTTGACTCAAATCCCCCTAGCACTCCCTTCCTAGTAGCTGCAATTACAGGTATGCACTACCATACCCCGTCCATGTGCATCTTTTCAATCTGTCCCCTTCCCCACTTTGTTCCCAGGCAACCACTGCTCTACTTATATCACTGTGGTTTGCTTTTTCTAGAAATTCTCATAAATAGAAATACAAGTATGTAGGCTGTGGAGTGTGGCTTCTCATACCTCACCTGTTGTTTTGAATCTCCATTATATCTTTTGTATTTATTTTTCTTACAAACTAAACCACAAACAACTTGATAAAATTAAAGAAGTACTGTCTTACTGGTTTTGCTATAAATAGGCTAAGTGGAAATCTACGTTTAACAGTTTATATTGACTGTGAAATAACTGTAAGATGTACTATTGTGTACTTCTAAAAAGTATTTTGATGAATTGCTAATAATTTAGCACAATACAGTACAATGTGAACAAGATATGAAAGTAAAAAAATAATTTGTTCCAGATACATTCAGAATACCAGATGGGAGTTAATGTTGCCTATGTGCCTTGAGGCCTGAACAGTAGGCCCTTATGTCCACAGGCATGCGGTTCCAAGGAGACCACCACTGAGGAACAACCACGAATGCTCAGGATGCATAGAGTTCAGTACTCTAGAATTACTCAAATTTACCTACAGTGGATATGCAGTAGGTCTGAGCATCCATGACTTGAAGCCGCATGGAGTAGGTTACATTACTGTTACAAAAATTGCTGTTGTACATATTAATACTGCTCACCAAAAACTGCATCTTATTTTTTTTTTCCCTTGGGAAGATTACCATAAATTTTACTTTGCTTTTAGGCATATTTTCACAAAATTAAGGGCAGGGAAACACCCACCAGATCATAAAACATTTTAAACACAAGTGATAATGCAAGATTGATTGAGAGCTTCTCTGAATCAGCCGAGCTGTGTAGTGCTTGAACAGGAATTTTAAATTTTTGCTTTTGAATTTTTTTCTGGCTTTTTCTTTTTTTTTTGTGGTACTGGGGCTTGAACTCAGGACTTCACACTTGCTGAACAGGTGCTCTACCACTTGGGCCACTCTGCCAGCCCCTGAATAATAATCTTTTGATTATTATTTTTTTTTAACCACACTTGATCAAAATCACATTAATAAATCCACACATAAGATGGGTTTACCTTATTGTATTCTTTTCCAGCTATTGCTGTACTACATTGGCTCATTTAGTACTAAAAGTACTCACAGGTAGAGTGCTTGCTTAGCAAGTGTGAGGCCCTGAGTTCAACCTCAGTATCTGCCAAAAAAGAAAGGCAAAAGTATCTGCTACCTACCTTCATTTCACCCACACCCAGAGGAAACAGTTTTAATTCTCACTAATTTTAAAAAGTTATTTATCTTGAGCCTAGCATGATTGCACACACCTGTATTCTCAGCTACTTGAGAGACTGAGGCTAGAGGATCAGAAGTTTAAGGCTAGCCTGGGCAACATAGCAAGATCCTCTCTCAAAATATAATAGGACTGGTGGAGTGGCTCAAGCAGTAAGAGCACCTGCCTAGCAAGCGTGAAGCCCTGAGTTCAAACCCCTGTGCCACCAAAAAACATAAGTAAATAAAAATAATTATTTAGCTGTATTTCTGAGGCATCTTGTTTTTCTGTAGCTTTTTGATTAATTTTTTCAGATTCAATATTGACTTTCCATCCTGAAAGATGAAGATTTAGCTTTCTCTTCCCTCTTCTATCCATGTTGTACACACTCACTTTCCGCAGAATTACCTAAAAACAGAAACCAGTACTCCATAGATTCATAGCCCATCCAGGTGAAATTCTGTGACAACTTTTCTTTGCAACTTTGTTTTCCCCTTAGGAAGAAATCTTTACTTGCCATGCGCTTTCTCAGTTTTCATTGTGCTACTTCAATGTAGAGCTCTGCAGCCTCTGTATCTCTCCGTGGTATATTTCAATGCATCAGATGTTTATGAGTCTCTGTTGGAAAAGTCCCTTTCTCCCCCCACCCCCGACCAAATGCTGGCTTCTCCTTTTGCCTTTGCCCTTTCCTCTGAGAATCCCTAGGTCTTGGTGTCTTTTCCCTGGCGCTCTGCTTCTTAGTGCTCCCACTGCCAAGTTAGGTGTCAGTTTACCTGGATTTGCAAAGTCACTTCCTGCTCATTCATCTGCTTTCTGTCTTCCTGGAGTTCATTATCACCACCATCCTCTTTTCTGGGTTCTAATGATAAGTTCAGGATGTGACAAAAGACATGAGAATAGGGTGGAAAACTTGGTCCATACTGGTATAAAAGGTGTCAAGGACCCAAGAGGCTAGTGTATTGGAATTAATCATTGCACAGATAATTATCAGGAATTATGATGGGAGTAGTCAAAGACAGTAAACTAGTAGGTACAGTCTTCAGGAAGAAACTATGGGGGAAGCTGAGACCACAACAAAATGGAGTAAGTGTGAAGAGAACAGATTCAAAGCTGAGTGTTTCTAGTCTGGTGAGTGGTCTAGAGGTGGTAAGAGGAGCCAAGAAACACCTGCTCCCTTCTAGTCAGTGGTACTTGTTCACAGAAAAAAACCCAAAAACTGGTCATCATGAGAGGTGGGTTTTAGCTAAAGCAAGGTGAATGGGAATTTGAAGGTACAGAGGATTCACTTATTGATACAGTGAATACATTTTGGAAGGTGGACTCCAAAAGACAAAATTCTGCCGGGTCTGGTGGCATCTGTCTATAATCCCTGCTACAAGGGAGAAAGAGGAAAGGAGATGTGATTTCAAGGCAAAGTTGGGAGATGTTGTCTCAAAAACAAAATACACTTGGGAGGCTGAGATTGGGAGGGTCACAGTTCGAGGCCAGCCCAGGCAAAAAAAAATTCAGGAGATCCCATTGCAACCAATAGCTGGACACAGTGCCATGTACCTGCTGTCCCAGGTAGAGTGAGAAGATTAAAATAGGAGGATTGAGACCCTGTCTCCAAAATAACCAGAGCAAAAAGGCCTGGAGGGATTGAGTGCCTGCCCAGCAAGCTTGTGAAGCCCTGAGTTCAAATACCAGTACTGCCCCAAAAAACCAAAGGGTTGGTAGATGGGGGGAGGAGACACATATGTCTCAAATTGCAGAGCACTTGCCTAGCTTGCAAGGCCTGGATTCAATCCTCAGTACCCTCTCCACATCCCTCAAAAAATTCTATAAATATAGATCTTATTTGAGTCATTCCCCTAGGAATGCCTATTAGAAGGATCTGATGATCATCAGCATACTGAAGAAATTTAGGTAATCTTTAGAAAGTTTTATGGTAAAAACTGAACATGGTATAATTTATGTACAATACTCCTGTTTCTGGGTATTCAGTGACTAGCTATGTAGTGTTGGATAGGTCGCTTGCTTTCTGTGTCTGTCATGTTCCCCCATAAAAACCCCCTACCTCCATGCTGGGGATTGAACTCAGGGCCTAGACAAGTTCTCTTACCTCTGAGCTACAGCCTCAGATGCAGGTTTCTTTTATTTTGTAAACTTCTTTCCTCATTTGTACAATGGGAATCACATCTACCTAGTAAAGGTCATGTGAGGGTTAAATGAGAATGTGGATGCAGGGCCTTAGCACATGAAAGCTCTCACTGCTTTGTAGCCACTGTTATCCAGGAATCTTTTAAAAAACTTTTTCTTTTCTCATACCTTTTAATTGGGATACAATTCATATGCCATAAAATTCAAGTGATTTTAGGCTATTTATGATGTGCATCTCCCCCCCCCCCCCCGGCTTCATTTAGGAATCTGGGTCTATCATAATTTTCTGGAGTTTTTGGATTTCAGAATTTAGGTAAGGAAATGCTTTTTGTAGCTAACTTGACTCACTTTATCTTTTTCAGGAAAGTTCACATCCTTGGCTCTTTCCAAAACATTAAGATGGCAAGAACTGCTATTTGCAACCTCATTCTGGGTAATAGTTTATTTCTTTGGTGTTTCCTCTAGAAAGAAATTTAGGAACTCAAGCCACATTTGCAAGGCAGCTTAGGATAATGTTAAAAATATTCAAAAGTCCTTGGGAATTGGCAAATGTGAGCTTAGAGAAAAACAGGAATATTTTGCTTAGATTCCATTTGTCTGCTTAAGAAAAGAAAGGTTTACTGAGTAATATTGCTTAAATCTGAGGAAGTACAGAAAGCCATTCCAGAATAGCAGGGAATATCTCAGTTTAGGTTTGATAACATGGGAGCTGAACAGCCTGTCAGTTTAATTGATCCGTGTAATCTGAGTTGCAGGATCACAGCAGGTGTTCAGAAAACTTGGGATTTTCCTCTCATGCCCAGGCCTGACTGACTGAGTTCTTTCTGAAGTATTTTGACAACTCAGTGTCTTTGACTATTAGAAACTTGAAATGTGTTTTGAAAACTATTTGGGTATGATTTTCCTTAAGGTTCTTTTGGTGATTCAAGATAGATCTAACAACAACAAAGTCCCTGTTCTTATTAGGGTTGTAGACCCTCTTCTGTTTAATTTCTACATATTCTAGTTTATTTGTATATTTAGACTACTTTTTTTTTTTTAAACAGGAAATCCTCCATCGAAGGTTTATGGCACTATTCGAGCTGTGGCTAACAGATCAGCAGATCGGTTCTGATTTTAAATCAGAGATTTTGTATCTTATCTTTGGACTTTAAAGAAAAAGACCTTATACCCGCAGGTGTTCACAGGAAACCTTGTGAAGAATTTCAGGTCACTTTAAGCTGGGTGCCTTCCCTTCATTCTCAGCAGTAAAAAACAGAAAGAGGAAGGGTTTAATACTATTTCATACTCAACAGTTTACAGACAGTTTAAATAGCAAGGTCTGTTATACTTACACATTAAGTATAATTTATCATATTTTTCACTTTAAATCACATGTAGCAGCTTTGCAGTTTAGAATCCTCATTTAGAGGAAACTTGCTTAAGTAGTTTTTGCATGAATTTTTAAGCTTTTTATTTATAAATTTATAAACAGTTCTTCTCTATAGTTGTAATTAAAAGAATTGTAAGAATCAGAAAAACCTATGGTGTCCTTGTGTGAATATTATAGAACTAAGGTAATAAACAGTAAGTTTTGGCTACATTATATTAACCAATAAGTGCTAATGTTTGTACCTGTTTTTTCAGTTTGTAAAATGAAGACTTGCATCATGAAGTTGTTGTGGGGAGAGTTTTATTTTTCAAATAAGTATTTTCATGAAAGTAGTCAGGCATTACCCAACATTTGATGTACTTCTTCAGCAGTAAAGGTAATAAAGTGGTAGAAGAATGTGTCGCTCCCCCCAAGAAAATGACTATGTTCTCCAAATGCAATAGGTTAACTAGTGTGCTGCCTTTTTAATATGACCTGAAGTATTTTTTGGTAGTTTTTAGAATGATAGGAACCCCTTTATTAAATGTAATTTTGATACTGCATTCTTCTGTACATTTCAAAAACTTTAATGGTGGAAGTATGGGAAAATTCATGTAAGAGCCAAAAGAAAACCATTCTTACTAAGCTTCTGTTTCCTCTGTGGTCCTTACATGTGCTGCTGTCCAAGCTACATTGTATATTGTGTGTGGGATTGGAAATGCTTAGAAAGGAAGGGAATGAATGAAAATAGCCCACCAAAGATAGTTTTTAGCCTTTTGGCAAACAACAGCATGGGGAAAGTGTGTGATGGTAATCAGATTCCTTTACCCTGTTGAAAAGAGGAATATGTTGGGACTTCTTATTCGGGAGTCTGTGTAGCATTAAGGCAATTCTGGGCCCACAGTCCCCCTTGGTCCAGGAAGATATATTCAAGGTCATGACTACTGCTAGTATGTGCTTTTCTGTGAAATAAGATCCATAGCTATATTGGGTTTTCAAAGCAGTTAGGCTGGAATGAACCATTACTAGGTAATTGTTGACTTCTAAGGAACTAAAGCAGAAAGTTAAGAACATATTTTTGATTGGGAAAATTTGGGTTCTCTTTAAAGTGAAATAATGTTTGTGGTATTGTTTGAATTTATTTCCTTTTGAAGCTTCTTATGTAGTTAAGACTATCAGTAATACAAAAGAGTATTTCCTTAGCAGTTGCAAAAATTTCGGTACTAACTTTGACTCAAGGATTTGTTTTGGGCGTGTCTGTATTCAAATGATTTTATCTCCCCTTCCCTAAAGGAGTAGTGCAATTTGGGGTTTGGAGGGGAGATGAAATGTTAGAGGGAACTAATTTTTAGAATAGGAATGGATGAAGAAGGAACAGAGGTAATAAATTTGAACTACACACTGGTAGTTAACAATCTGAACCAAATTATTTTTTTAAACTGCTCTAGTGAGGCCAAGACACTAAATCTTATCCGTGCTATCCATATATCTTTGGCACTTGTCATGCTGTTGTGTCTGTCACTCTAAGCCCTCATGGTCTTTGGAAACTATCACAGCTCCTGACCTACTACAATTTACTTATACACATTCCCTTAGGGATGGGCCTGAGAGAGAATTGTATTTTCTTAGGTATTCAGTGGCTTGGGTTCCTAGTCATCCCAGATTTGGGTTCCCTTAGGGATGGCTGAGAGAGAATTGTATTTTCTTAGGTATTCAGTGGCTTGGGATTCCTAGTCATCCCAGATTTGGGTTCTAATTCCCATGCTGCCAAGAATTGGGATGGTAGAAAGAAAGTTCATGTTGAACATGTGGGAAGGACCTAATTGTCCGGATCCTAGAGACACGGTAACCATGTTAAGATTGGAACAGCATCCTTAATGTGAGGTACTGGCACTACAACAACATACAAACCATTTCTAAGAACTTGCAAAATGCTTACATATTGTGCAAATATCAATTCCTTTTTGTAGAAAGAAACCATTAAGGCTTCAGGAGGCTTGAGAGAGTAAGGACTCCCCCATTTCTTCTAGTTAGCTGATAAAAGCCCAAGAGATGTGAAATGTTGAAATAGCATTGGACTTGAAATGTTCAGCTAATGCAATGAGAGAATTATGAGTGTGTGAGAGTTGTCTGAAGACTAAAGACTGTTTCAAGACGTGAACTTTAACACCATTTTCTTTGTAGTCCTGGAACTATCCACAAAGATTAAAATTCATTTTTATATTACATTTCTTTTTGTGTTTTTTTTTAAAAAAGTTAGAAACATAAAGCTTTCCACTTTGACCATTTTAATTATGCAGTCTAGTGACATTAAGTTCATCCATTTTATTGTGTAGCCATCACTACCATCCAGCTCCAGGACTTTCTGTTCTGCAACTGAAACTGTAATTTTTAGCACCAGTTCTCTAATTCTTTTCCCCCTAGCCCTTGGCAACCACCATTACAGTCTCTAAGTTTTATTACTCCAGTAATATAAAAGAGGAACCACACAATATTTCACTTAGCATAGTATCTTCAGGGTTCAAACGTATGTAAAAATGTCCTTCCTGTTATGGCTAAATAATATTCCATTATATGTATATACATTTTATTTTTCCATTCATCTGCTGATTAATACCTGGGCTGCTTCTACCCTTTAGCTACTTCAAATGCTGTTGCCACGGATGTTGTATGGGTAACTGAGTTCCTGATTTTACTTCCTCACCCCTCCCCCCCAAATCTTCCTCCTTCCTCTTTTACTTTTGGGTGTATATACAGAAGTGGGATTGTGACAGCTTATGGTGATAGACACTTAAACACTGTGTTCTACAGTTGCTGTATCATTTTGCATTCTTGCCAAAATGCAGGTTTCCAATTTCTTCCACATCCCCAACACTTATTTCAGTGTTTTAGTTTTTAGTAATACATCCTAATGAGTAAAGAAGCATCTTGTTGTGACTTTGATTTGCATTTTCTTAATGACTAGTTCTATTGAGCATCTATCTTTTCATGTGTTTATTTGCCATTTGTATATGTTTTAGTCTATTCAAATGCCCATAATTAATCAGGTTTTTTGTTGTTGCTGTTGAGTTGTAGTTATTTATATTCTGAGTATCAATCCCTATATCAGTATATAATTTGCATATATTTTCTCCCATTCTTGTGAGTTGCATTTCACTCTGAATAACCATCATGTCTGCTCTTAAAGACTGTTAAAACTAGCTAAAGATGTAGGACTTTTGTGTTTGTTTTCATAGGTTTAACAAACCTATACTCCTAGGGTACTCTAAGATGCCACAGAATCCAGTGCATTCCACTGCATGGTGTTTTGTAACTGTACATACCCAATGATACCTTACATCCTGTAACTCATCTTGGCTAGGGATATCATTTACCTGGCATGAGTATCTCAGTTCCCTGTTACAGTGCTAGACATGTAGTAAGGACTCTACAGTTGTTGAATTAAAGTCTCAAATACTAATTTTCATCTAGTAACTCATATTAACACAATATTAACAAAATACTGAAAAGCAATATAAAATCACAACTTGAAGTTTGGTGTGGTGGCACACGTCTGAAATCCCAGGTACTCTAGAGACTGAGCAGGGGATCACAAGTTCAGGCCCAGCCTGGGCTAAGCAGACTGTCAAAAGGTACATACATAAAAAGACAAATCACTAGTCTTGTGGAGCTTTCATTCATTTTATTCTATAACCAGGGAAGACAAAATACGTAACGTAGATTATGTAAGAAAAGGGCAAATGCTATGGAAAAAGTAACAAGATGGGAAAGGAGGTCTATTTTGTATTTTTAAACAGGGCAATCAGGAGAGTTCCTTTTGAGCCAGGATGTACCTGAAAAAAAAAAACTGGGTGGAGAGGGGGACAAACAGTGCAGAGGCCTAAGATGGGAGCAAACCAAAAGCTCTGGGTGCCACAGGAGGTTAAGGTAACGAGAGAGGCTAAGTCGTAAGACAGCACGGAAGCGATGCGATGGGGAGTCGTATGAGGACTGGTTTAGTTTGTTTTTTTTTAACTAGGGCTTTGTAATGTTTCCCTTCAGTGATAAAGCACACTTGTTCTCCCTGTGCCTTATAATGAAAAAATAAACATCACTTTATCAAAGTTTTATAAAACTATAGAATAACAAACTATGTTACAGCTGTGAAAGTCCATCAAAGATGACTGAATACATTCAAGGAAGTTTCAAATGTTTTATTTTCTTATTCATACAGTATGAAGTTTTCTAAAGATCCCACAACATGACAATATCATGCAGAAGAAAAACTAAACATTCAACATAAACTGCCCCCTCCCTTACCCAACCCCCCCCAACCCCCACACACAAACTAGAAAAAAAAAGAAAAACCCTCATTCCCCAGTAAGGAAATAATGTTTGCACTATTTTTCTGTAACGCCAGCCAAGATATGCACAAGCAAGAGAAATAGAAAGCATTTGCTAAAATATTTGTAACAAATAATTATGTACAAAAAATTCACAAAAGACTAGTCCCCCTTGAAGCAGAGCACATGGCAGTTGACACTGGAACAGAGCAAACCACTGGCTGGGACTGCAAGCCACGTGCTGATCCAGAGGAAGAAAGTTACATGTAGTGGAGATTTTCAGTTTAACATTAACATTTCCAAAGTTTGGCAACATTATCTTTTAAAATTATGCAAATGATGTAAACAAGAGGTACATTTTTAAATCGATCTACATGCAAAACTCCATGTCATGCAAGGACACCAAGCACCGGGATTTTTCTCTCACAGACAGAGCCCATGATGTGCAGCACTCAGCTGAAGGAACAGCGATGGCAGGCAGGCGT